CCGGACTGGAAGGGGGGGGGGGGGGGGGGGAGTGTCCGGACTGGAAGGGGGGAAAGTGTCCGGACTGGAAGGGGGGGAAAGTGTCCAGACTGGAAGGGGGGGAAAGTGTCCGGACTGGAAGGGGGGGAAGTGTCGGACTGGAAGGGGGGGAAAGTGTCCGGACTGGAATGGGGGGGGAAAGTGTCCAGACTGGAAGGGGGGGAAAGTGTCCAGACTGGAAGGGGGGGAAAGTGTCCGGACTGGAAGGGGGGAAAGTGTCCGGACTGGAAGGGGGGGGGGGGGGGGGGAAAGTGTCCGGACTGGAAATTGGGGGGACTGGAGTGGGGGGGGGGAAGGGGGGAAAGTGTCCAGACTGGAAGGGGGGGAAAGTGTCCGGACTGGAAGGGGGGGAAAGTGTCCGGACTGGAAGGGGGGGGAAAGTGTCCAGACTGGAAGGGGGGGAAAGTGTCCGGACTGGAAGGGGGGGAAAGTGTCCGGACTGGAAGGGGGGGAAAGTGTCCGGACTGGAAGGGGGGGGGAAAGTGTCCGGGGGGGTAATGTCCGGACTGGAAGGGGGGTAAAAGTGTCCGGACTGGAAGGGGGGTAAAAGTGTCCGGACTGGAAGGGGGTAAAAGTGTCCGGACTTTAAGTAGTTAAGGTGGATTCCCGCTTCCAGCTTAGGCTCCATTCACACCTATGCAGTTTGCTTTTTGTCTGGTTTGCAGGACTTTTCGCAGTTCGTTTTGCATTTTTTTTGCATTTTGTTCAGCTTTTTTTTTTTGTTAAAGTGGAATTTTTTTAATTGCTGGGCAGAATAACAATGCAGTACCGCGCATTCCAGCAGCTTCTCCATTGAACTCTATTGTAGCAAAAACGCTGCTTTTTGCTTTTAAAAAAGTCTCTGACCCTTTCCAAAAACGCAGCAGTTCAAAAAAGCCTAGATGTGAACATGTTCCATAGGAAACCATGTTAAAATGGACTGTAGTGCGTTTCTGCAAAAAAGTGCTAAAAACGCATTGGCATGAACAGAGCCTCAATCAGAACATCATACTACCCTCTCTGTGCCCCGATCCTAAGAATCCCAAATCTCTTGTTCAGATGCAGCACACACAGTGCACATTCTATTTGTCCTCCCTACAGGCCCCTGCAAGGCCTGTCCTGCTTCTTGTTCCACCATGTCTGGATTAGGTGGGTTATCACGAAGGATTAATCCCTGAAGGATTGGACTCCTTCCTTCCAGGTTAGGGCTCACTTGATTGGTTCAGTCGGTGCCTTTTGGGCTTCTCAGCACCAGGCGGTCATTATTTACAAGGCCCCACATTGTCCTCCGTTCACCTTTGTAGAGTTTTATCCGGCGACACTTCAGGCCTCTGTGGATGCCAGTTTCAGCCATCATGTGCTTCAAGCTGCTTTTTGAGTTTTAGAACCCAATTCCCTTGTTAAAGCCTTTGGGCATTTTAGCCGTGTTGCCCACTTCCCATTTGTTTTGGGACATCCCATAGTCAATTAGGAGTTGTGTGCTGGACAATTAACAAAGGATTTGTGACTTGCCTATACAATCTTTCGCATGCAATAAAGAACCTTTCCCCCAACATGCCCTTTTTTCTGATTGCTTGCTAAAAAACTGAGACTTGTCGGGAGTGGGAGGTTACATGGACTGTCCTTACCTGAAGGTGACACCAATTAATCCACCATCAATACTTACAGCTCTGTACTTTACTCCAAGAGAAGTAAAAAATCTTTATTTTAAGGCTCTCTGCAGCACAAAGTATGAAATAATCCAAAATCTGACCGGGAACAATTAAACTTTCAGGAAAACATACCAACCGCCATGAAATGCATTGACCCCGAGGCCATTTAAAGTGAACGGTGCTCAAGTTCGATTCTCCCGCACCTCCCACTGGTACGCACTTACAATGGACTATGAAAGGAAGAGTTCCCAGGACACACTTGTGTGCCAACCAGACGAGTGATCCAATGCAGGAACTTGTTGTCAATGGAGAGCTCTGTGCTCCGGCGCTGAAACCAACTATCAGTCCACATTGAGGGTGTAGGGGTCCCCCTCTGTAAATGGTTAGAGGCACGGCATGCTGAACCGATCCCAGGCATAGTTCCAAGCACTCACAGTACACAAATGAACTGACCCCAAGGGGGTGAACCATGCCTGAGACTGGCTAAAACGCTCAGTGAGAGGGCCCCCTAAAACGTAGTGCTAGGATATAGAAAAGGCAGAACTTTTATTTTTTAGTTTTGGAAAGAGTGGAGAGGGATTAGAACACCTGCCAGATTTTTATTGCTGCCCCATCAGGGAGATTCATCCTATTTATCATGTTTACTGTTATCATAGAAAGTGAAAGAAAAAAAAAATTCCCAGTTTTTTGGCTGTCACCAGAACAGCAATAGAGGGAATATCTTCAAATGGGGACACTAGATCAGGGGACACTGGTGACAACCAGGGATTCCCTCACTTCGGAGGGATTCCCCCTCACTTCTTTTAGTCTCTGGGACTGGAATTGAAGGGAAGTCTTCACAATGGAAAAGAGATTGAAAAAAAAAAACAAAACCCGGCAGGGGTTATAACTCTCACTTACTCTCTCCAAAATGGCTAAAAGGGGTTCGGCTTATAGCTCTGCTTTAGCACAGTTGGAAGTCTAAATAAATGATTGAAGTATTTGAGTTGGTTCGTCATTATCTGTTTAATGTGTCATGTTGATGTACATGCTTTTCATGTGTTACATGTCTGTGCTCATCCTGCTTTAACCAGTTGCTGACCAGTTTTACTGCGGCAGAGCAGCCCCACTGCGCAAGATCACATACATGTACGTGTTCTAACATCCCAGGGTAAGGGGGGCGCCCACTGCCCCTTCAGTGCGGTCCTTCGCAGCACCAGCTGATCATCAGGTCCAGGCCAAAGATTTATGGCCACACCTGCTAATTGGCTTAGCGAAAGACAGTTCAGAGCCCTTTACTGAGAACACGGGGCCCCGATTACTGAGAGCGCGGGGCCCCGGTTACTGAGAACGCGGGGCCCCGATTACCGAGAGCGCGGGGCCCCGATTACCGAGAGCGCGGGGCCCCGATTACCGAGAGCGCGGGGCTCCGGTTACCGAGAGCGCGGGGCCCCGATTACCGAGAACACGGGGCCCCGATTACCGAAACACGGGGCCCGGATTACCGAGAACCGGGGCCCCGATTACCGAGAACACGGGGCCCCGATTACCGAGAACACGGGGCCCCGATTACCGAGAACACGGGGCCCCGATTACCGAGAACACGGGGCCCCGATTACCGAGAACACGGGGCCCCGATTACCGAGAACGGGGCCCGATTACCGAGAACACGGGCCCCGATTACCGAGAAACGGGGCCCCGATTACCGAGAAACGCGGGGCTCCGATTACCGAGAACGCGGGGCTCCGATTACCGAGAACACGGGGCCCCGATTACCGAGAACACGGGGCCCCGATTACCGAGAACACGGGGCTCCGATTACCGAGAACACGGGGCCCCGATTACCGAGAACACGGGGCCCCGATTACCGAGAACACGGGGCCCCGATTACCGAGAACACGGGGCCCCGATTACTAAGAACACGGGGCCCCGATTACTAAGAACACGGGGCTCTGAACGGAGAGCAGCAACGTGCCTGTTTTTCTCCCTGCTTTGCAGGGAGAAAGAAACAAACACATGGCTTAAGAAAAGCATGAATATTACACATTGATAGGCAGAGCGTGAACTCTTTGATTGCCACTAGATATAAACCCTTCTCAGCTAGAGTCATTAATAAAGTGATAGCGTATATTATTGGCACAGATCATTGTAGTAGTGTCACTGGTGATGCGAGTCAGTTCCCACTTAGTGTCAGATTGCCCTCCACACTATCACAGTCCTACTATAAGTAGCATTACCGGTATAGCGTCTAAAGCTGCCTAAATTCCATTATCTATCCCATAGTTTGTAGATTCTGTAACTTTCACACAAACCAATCAATATACACTTACTGGGATTTTTTTGTTTTTACCAAAGACATGGAGCAGAAAACATTTTGGCCTAAATTTATAAGAAATTTTATTTTATTGGATAGGTTTTATAGCAGAAAGTAAAAAATATTGTTGTTCTTCAAAATTTTCAGTCTTTTTTTTGTTTGTATAATAATAGATGGAAAACCCAGCGGTGATCATATACCACCAAAAGAAAGCTCTATTTGTGGGAAAAAATGATAAATTTAATTTGCACACAGTTTTGCAGGACCGCGCAATTACCTGTTAAAGTAGCACAGTGCCGCATAGCAAATAATGCCCTGGTCATGAAGGGGGTAAAATCTGAGCTTAAGTGGTTGAAAGTGCCACGATCACTATAAAATAATACAAATGATGATATGAAGTGCAGCCACACACTTTCACTTTCACTTTCAGTGTTGTCACTCCACCCAAATGCTAGGCTTATCTGATTGGTACAATTTCAGCACTTCCTGGTTGTCTCAAAGCCAAAGTATGGGAGTGAGAGTCCAAACTCGGAGTTTCGACCAATGAAAACAGCCAAACATTTAGGCAGCGTAGGGGTGCCGGGAGAGAAGACACAGGGATGTCCCTAAATACATGTTTAAGTTTTTGGAAAGGGTGGATTTTTTTTTTTTTTTATTACCAAAACCGGTTTCTACTTACCTGTTCTGTGCATAGCGGCGTGAACCTTATATTCTGGGGTCCCTTGCAGGCCCTCCAGGATCTCTTTGTGTGCCCCCTAGCAAGCTGATCGCTATGGGGGCACACCTGTGGGCTTGATCTCGAATCCGGCTGTGTGTCCAATGACACACAGTGAAGCTCAGCCTCCACCCCCTCAGAGTTTGATTGACAGCAGCAGTAGCCAATGGCTCCCGCTGCTCTCAGACTCTCCTGTGAGGAGAGTGCTGGATCGCCTACAGGCTCACACAAGTGCCAATACCAATCATTAGTATTGGTTTCTAAATGAACAAATTATAACTGTTTGACCATGGTGGGTAAAACTTCAAAAAAAAAAAAATCTTCAAATCAATGAATACTTAATTTGAAGAGTTTGCAAATAACAAAGCAGATCGGAAGTCGTGTTCATCTGTTGAACTATAGAGCGAACGTCTTTTAAGATACCACCAAGTTCATGTTTTCATGACATCATTCAGCTCCTGGATAGTCCTACAGTTTTGAAAGGAAGAAGGAAGACACTCCTGCTTGCCGCCACAGCCCCGGCCTGCAGCACACGTGTCATTGCTGGGCTCATGTGTATGGTTGCTGAGTCCCATGTCATCCATGCAGCTTGATAACTCCGAGGGATGAACAACCTGGTGAACAGAAGACAGGCTCTGGACAATCTGGTCCTCAGATTGGCAGACGGCAGATAGGAGCTCACCAAGTCGTGTATTCACCGCGGGATCCAAACTGTGAACTTGACACCATGTGACCAGAGCACTGAAAAGCAAACATCAGTATTACGATCGTTCACACAGTGATCACCATATGGGGTCTCATCCATCAAAGTGGGCACAATGGTCACACAAATACTTCCTGCCAGCATGACAACGGAAGGCGGTTCTAGGTCACAAATAACAGACAATTCACCTTCAGACACACATTACTGAGGCGCAGTTTATTTTGCAGCATTCAGATAATACAAATGAGCCGACTATTCCTTTTGCATTTCAAATTAGGTTTCAATATCCAATTACTTTTCAAAGTATTTGTTGCATAAAGGGACAAGTCTGTGAGACAGCCAGAGACAGCAGAGACAGCCAGAGACAGCCAGAGACAGCCAGAGACAGCCAGAGACAGGCAGAGACAGCCAGAGACACAGACCAGAGACAGCCAGAGACAGCAGAGACAGCAGAGACAGACAGCAGAGACAGCCAAAGACAGCAGAGACAGAGACAGCAGAGACAGCCAGAGACAGCAGAGACAGCAGCCAAAGACAGCAGAGTCAGCCATGAGACAGCAGAGACAGCCAGAGACAGCAGAGACAGCCAGAGACAGCCAAAGACAGCAGAGACAGAGACAGCCAGAGACAGCCAGAGACAGCCAGAGACAGCAGAGACAGCAGAGACAGCCAGAGACAGCAGAGACAGCCAGAGACAGCAGAGACAGCAGAGACAGCCAGAGACAGCCAGAGACAGCAGAGTCAGCCAGAGACAGCAGCAGAGACAGCCAGAGACAGCAGAGACAGCCAGAGACAGCCAAAGACAGCAAAGACAGCAGCAGACAGCCAGAGACAGAGAGACAGCCAGAGACAGCCAGAGACAGCAGAGACAGCAGAGACAGCAAAGACAGCAGAGACAGCCAGAGACAGCAGAGACAGCCAGAGACAGCAGAGACAGCAGAGACAGCAGAGACAGCCAGAGACAGCCAGAGACAGCCAGAGACAGCCAGAGACAGCAGAGAGCCAAAGACAGCAGAGTCAGCCAGAGACAGCAGAGACAGCCAGAGACAGCAGACAGCCAGAGACAGCAGAGACAGCCAGAGACAGCCAAAGACAGCAGAGACAGCAGAGACAGAGACAGCCAGAGACAGCAGAGACAGCCAGAGACAGCAGAGACAGCAGAGACAGCCAGAGACAGCCAGAGACAGCAGAGACAGCCAGAGACAGCAGAGACAGCCAGAGACAGCAGAGACAGCAGAGACAGCAAAGACAGCCAGAGACAGCAGAGACAGCCAGAGACAGCAGAGACAGCCAAAGACAGCAGAGACAGCCAGAGACAGCAGAGACAGCCAGAGACAGCAGAGACAGCCAGAGACAGCCAGAGACAGCAGAGACAGCCAGAGACAGCAGAGACAGCCAGAGACAGCAGAGACAGCCAGAGACAGCAGAGACAGCAGAGACAGCCAGAGACAGCACAGACAGCCAGAGACAGCAGTCAGCCAAAGACAGCCAGAGACAGCAGAGACAGCCAGAGACAGCAGAGACAGCCAAAGACAGCCAGAGACAGCAGAGACAGCCAGAGACAGCCAGAGACAGCAGAGACAGCCAGAGACAGCAGAGACAGCCAGAGACAGCAGAGTCAGCCAAAGACAGCCAGAGACAGCAGAGACAGCCAGAGACAGCAGAGACAGCCAAAGACAGCAGAGACAGCCAGAGACAGCAGAGACAGCCAGAGACAGCCAGAGACAGCCAGAGACAGCCAGAGACAGCAGAGACAGCCAGAGACAGCCAGAGACAGCCAGAGACAGCAGAGACAGCAGAGACAGCCAGAGACAGAGACAGGCAGAGACAGCAGAGACAGCCAGAGACAGCAGAGACAGCCAGAGACAGCAGAGACAGCCAGAGACAGCCAGAGACAGCAGAGACAGCAGAGACAGCAGAGACAGCCAAGAGACAGCAGAGACAGCCAGAGACAGCCAGAGACAGCAGAGACAGCCAGAGACAGCCAGAGACAGCAGAGACAGCAGAGACAGCCAGAGACAGCCAGAGACAGCAGAGACAGCAGAGACAGCAGAGACAGCCAGAGACAGCCAGAGACAGCAGAGACAGCCAGAGACAGCAGAGACAGCAGAGACAGCAGAGTCGGATTAACATTTATACAGGCAAAGAAATTTGCATTGCTGCATTTAAAGGGGAATTTTACTCTCTTAATCAATCATTACTATTTGTAATCCTTACGATAGGAAATTTCATATTTACTTGTTTTGAACATTTCTTCAGTAACTTCCTGGTTTCCAGGCCTAGGCAAAATGGTGTCTTACATATCATGAATCTTCAGAAGGGGAGAGAGTCTTCTCAGCTAAATGCATCCTCCTGCCTGCTGGAAGTTCCAGGAAGTAAATGCTACATTAATTATCTGCCCTTACTCAAGATGGCCGCACCCAGAAATGCTAAGAGGTGTTTTTATCAAAGTGATTTCTCAGCAAAATGGAGACATGGATGGATGGGGGAGTTTGCTTTGAATATTAAAAATGAATTAATAGCATTTTGTGGCTTTTGGCAGTGTAGTTCTGCTTTAAATCTGTTCTCTGACCCATGTTCATTCATCATGAACCCCCCAGTAAGACAATGCAGATCCAGCAAGCATGCCTTCCTATCAATATCAGACACAGCATACCTTCTCCTTTTAAAACCCCCGGGGTCCTTTCAGCAGAATCTTGTACATCTACTGACCCGGGGCCCAAGTTCCGTGCTGTGAAGCATGCACTTTAATATACAGTGAAGAGTACACCGTGGGAAGCAGAAGGGCCGTGACAGACCATTTGACTGCAAGCTGGGAAAAGGAAGTCAGCGGTTCCTGGGATGGGGAGCAGCTGCTTTTACAAGGTAAGGCTTTCTTGGCAACATCTGTATTTTCTGAGACTTGGCTCATTCATTTTACGTGAGGAAATCACAGCTGACACGTTTATAACGGTCAAGGAGTGTTCTGTTCATACATTTGCCAAAACCGATTTCATTTGGAATAAAGTGAGAACGGAATAGAGCCTCTGGGTATTTTTTTTTCTTATTTCTGTCCTTGTCGGAGGGATTTTTGATCATGTCCTGAGCTTTAGCGTGAGACCAGCTTCTGCAGGTCCTAGTAATAAAATGGAACATAGATTAATGTTCTCAACACGGGACGCCATACATAATAATCCACAGCTTGCAGTCAGAAGGGTTTCATGCAGAGAAAGAGGATCCACAGCAGTGATTTTATTGTCAACGTCTCGATGAAGCTCAATCCATCTTTCTCAAGACTCTACAACACTAATAAATCCCAAAGTCCCACCACCAACAACACCCCCTACTGATGACCTCACACAGGGAAAAGGTAAAGAGGGATCACAAACAGAGTAAAACACAATAGTTCATCAAAAAAACTAAATATGCAAAATCCTAACTGAATTCAAAGTGAAGATGGACTGAGCTTCACCGAAACGTTGACCTAAACCTTTGATCTTCCTCCTCTCCAAGACCCTTGAGTGCCTCTAAACCAGTTTTGGATTTCTATGGATTTCTTTGTGGTTGGGCACCTGATCATTTATCTCCAACATAGAGCGACGTGCCTACCTGTGAAACTATATATAAAGCCCAACTGAACTGTCAGTTTAAAGGAGAAGTAGGGCCAAAGTTCTTTTCTTCCTATAGGTCACAGGAGTGCACTTAGTTCTGTTCTCCTAGGACCCATTTTCAGCCAACATCACGGAGCCAGTCCAGGCTCTGCAAGGTTCCGGACCATATTGTCAGGATCCACCCAGATGTCTGACTGGCAGCTGGCTCAGCCTCTCATTGTGCCCCTTAGTACTGGAGGTACAGTGACTGACAGTCACCAACTATCTGCAGACTGAAGACTAAGAAGTGAGTGATTAGCGGTTTTTGATCACTCAGTGCTCAGTCTTAGAGGCAGGGACAGCTGTGTAGGGATGGACCCTGTGGAAGCAGTGGTCTCTCTGCAGAGGTTCAACACACTCCAGAGTCAAAGCTAGAGCCCCCAATCAATAGGGAGCATAAGCAGGATTGTGATAGAACTTTGAAGAGAGACCACTGCTGTCACACACATAACAAAAGGTCCTTCTCTGCAACATGCTGGCAGGTCATAGACTTTTCTACTCAGACTGTGGCTACTCTAAAGAAATAGACTGTAAGACTTTGAACATCTTTTTTTTAAATGCACTTAGAATGTACACGGCTCAAAAAGAAATGAAAGGAACACTTTTTAATCAGAGTCTAGCATCAAGTCAATGACACTCCTGGGATATGGATCTGGTCAGGTAAGTAGCAGAGGGGGTTGTTCATCAGTTTCAGCTGCTTTGATGCTAATTAAATTAACAACAGGTGCCCTAGATGGGCAACAATGAGACGACCCCCAATACAGGAGTATTACAGGTGGAGGCCACTGACATTTTCCCTGCTCATCTTTTCTGACTATTTTTCTCAGTTTTTGCCTTCAGCTAGAGTCAGTGTGACTACTGGTAGCATGAGGCCATACCTGGACCCTACAGAGGTTGTACAGGCAGCCCAACTCCTCCAGGATGGCACATCAATACATGTCATTGCCAGAAGGTGTGCTGTGTCTCCCAGCACAGTCTCAAGAGCATGGAGGAGATTCCAGGAGACGAGAGCATGGAGGAGATTCCAGGAGACAGGCAGTTCCTCTAAGAGAACTGGACAAGGCTGTAGAAGGACCTTAACCCATCAGCAGGACCGGTATCTGCTCCTTTGTACAAGGAGGAACAGGATGAGCCCTGCCAGAGCCCTACAGAATGACCTCCAGCAGGCCACTGGTGTGAATGTCTCTGACCAAACAATCAGAAACAGACTTCATGAGGGTGTCCTGAGGGCCCGACGTCCTCTAGTGTACCCTGTGCTCACTGCCCGGCACCATAGAGCTGGATTGGCATTTGCCTTTGAACACCAGAATTGGCACCCTGAGCACATGTGACAGACGTGAAGGGTCTGGAGAAGCCATGGAGAACATTCTGCTGCCTGTAACATGGTTCAGCATGACCGATATGGTGGTGGGTCAGTGATGGTCTGGGGGGGCATATGCATGGAGGGACACACAGACCTCTACAGGCTAGACAATGGCCCCCTGACTGGCACTAGGTATCAGGATGAAGTCCTTGGACCCTTTGTCAGACCCTACGCTGGTGCAGGGGGTCCTGGGTTCCTCCTGGTGCAGGGGGTCCTGGGTTCCTCCTGGTGCATGACAATGCCCGGTCTCATGTGGGGAGAGTATGCAGGCAGTTCCTGGAGGATGAAGGAATTGATACCATTGAATGGCCCCCACACTCGCCTGACCTAAATCCAATAGAACACCTCTGGGATATCATGTTTCGGGCCATCTGAGGACGCCAGATTGCACCTCTGTCCAGACTGTCTATGAGCTCAGTGATGCCCTGGTCCAGATCTGGGAGGAAATCCCCCAGGACACCATCCGTCGTCTCATTAGGACCCTCCCCCGACGTTGTCAGGCATGCATACAAACACCTGGGGGCCATACAAACTACTGAGGACCACTTTGAGTTGCTGCAATGAAATTTCCACAAAATTGACTCGCCTGCTGCATCATTTTTACTTTGATTTTCGGGGTGTCTTTGAATTCAGTCCTCTGTAGGTTGATAATTTACATTTTCCATCAAATGATGGGGCGTCCTTACATTCCTCACACATTACCCCGTCCATGTCAGTATGGATATCCAGCATGAGATTTTTCCCCATTGAGATCTGATGTGTTTTCAAATTGTCCCTTTATTTTTTTGGAGCCGTGTATTTAGCTGGTTTAAACTGAAAGTAAAAATTAAATTTAAAGACCATCCGGTGTGGATAGATGGTTTCATGTTCCAACTAATACTTTGCCAGCAATGTTCCTGAGAGAGAAAAAAATAAAAAGTGTTTGTAGCAACACAGAGAGGATCAAGCTTTGCCTCTTGTGTGTCGCTTTGTAAGTCTTCTAAAGCTGAATGACATAAAAGAACTGGTAGGGAAGTTTTAATGTTCTGACCTTGGAGGAGGCAGCAGCAATGCCTCAGGTGAACTATACTAGGTGAACTATACTAGGTGAACCATCCTCAGGTGAACCATCCTCGGGTGAACCATCCTCGGGTGAACCATCCTCGGGTGAACCATCCTCGGGTGAACCATCCTCGGGTGAACCATCCTCGGGTGAACCATCCTCGGGTGAACCATCCTCGGGTGAACCATCCTCGGGTGAACCATCCTCAGGGGTGAACCATCCTCGGGTGAACCATCCTCTCGGGTGAACCATCCTCGGGTGAACCATCCTCGGGTGAACCATCCTCAGGTGAACCATCCTCAGGTGAACCATCCTCAGGTGTGAACCATCCTCGGGTGAACCATCCTCAGGTGAACCATCCTCAGGTGAACCATCCTCAGGTGAACCATCCTCAGGGTCAGGTGAACCATCCTCAGGTGAACCATCCTCAGGTGAACTATACTAGGTGAACCATCCTCAGGTGAACCATCCTCAGGTGAAACCATCCTCAGGTGAACCATCCTCAGGTGAACCATCCTCAGGTGAACCATCCTCAGGTGAACCATCCTCAGGTGAACCATCCTCAGGTGAAACCATCCTCAGGTGAACCATCCTCAGGTGAACCATCCCTCAGGTGAACCATACTAGGTGACTGGAGGGATTCTATTTTTGATGTGACCCGATACTCTAAAGGAGCACCTCCATTCTGATCATGTGTAAGCAAAGCACATAAACCTCCCATAAAACTAGATCATGGCGAGCATTCTGTGTGTATTAGATTTCACAAGGAAAAGATAAACAGGAATGGTGGGTACCTCTTTATAAATGTTCACGCACACCAGGAATCTACAATATATGAAACCATAAAATATTCCGATACCTAATAATCCCTCGAAGTTCTCCACATGGCATTAGCGTGTTTACTCCCAACTTGTATCCCAGGTTGAATCCTGTCTGCAGTGAATTTTCCTTTCCAGCATCAATCCCATCCAGATACCCTTCCTGAAATAAAAGAAATTTAGGAAATTAAATAATTGGAGCCATAAATGGAAGCAAGTTCTATAGTCCTGTGCATCTTCTTAAAAAATATATGAATTCCAATTTAAAGTGGAGTTCCACTCAAAAGCAGATGCTCCGCTCCCCCCCCACCCCTCCCCTCCACTGCCATATTTGGCACCTTTTGGGGGGTGAGCGAATACTTGTTTTTGAAAGTTGCCCGCTCCCACTTCTGGCTCAGTTAGCCACGGCGAAGTGAGCTGGAAATTCAGCCCCTTCCTTCCTCCTGCAGTTTCCTGGGAACCTTCAGAGGTCCCAGAAGACCAATGAGAATGGGCAGTGTGACTCGCGCATGCGCAGTGGGCATCCAGCTGTGCAGCCGCAAGCTTTCCCAGTCTGGTGCCCATAGTTGTGATGCCAGTGCCGGTGTGAGGAGAGAAGGGGCAGCGCGGGTGAGTACATCGCTGGATCCTGGGACAGTTTTTGTAGTTGCTGACTTTTAATAAACACAAAACTGACTGAAATCCACTTTAAGCTGAATTTCTTTTTTTGTCTATTATATGTGACTTTCTATTCTTCCATATCAGCTACATATTAGTTATTGCAGATGTGAAGCAGAACTGGACTTGTGCTAAAAGAAATCAATGTAAAGCCCTGCGATCAGCAATTTACTGTAGAATGGTATTCCAGTGTCAAGAAATACCTTTCAGGCGTTTATTTTGTGTCCAGAGATCACCTATCACCACGAATGCCAGTGAAGGATGCAGGTTATAATACATATGAATGTGTCAGACATCACTGAGCGGGGGGGGGGCCCCGGAGGGAGCAAACTGTCCACTTACTGGCATATTACCATTCTTGAAGGGCTCTTATACTTCAGTGTGGGCCCCCGGCTATGACAGACAGCTTGCGGGATGACAGCCGAGTGCCCACTGTGCATACGTGAGCAGCGCTGAGCTTTCTGAATGGCCCCGCAGTCTTCTGGGAGCGGAGTACCTGTCAGTTTTGGGTACCCGCTCCCCGGAGTACCTGTCAGTTTTGGGTACCCGCTCCCTGGAGTACCTGTCAGTTTTGGATACCCGCTCCCCGGAGTACCTGTCAGTTTTGGATACCCGCTCCCTGGAGTACCTGTCAGTTTTGGGTACCCGCTCCCCAGAGTACCTGTCAGTTTTGGGTACCCGCTCCCCGGAGTACCTGTCAGTTTTGGGTACCCGCTCCCTGGAGTACCTGTCAGTTTTGGGTACCCGCTCCCTGGAGTACCTGTCAGTTTTGGGTACCCGCTCCCTGGAGTACCTGTCAGTTTTGGGTACCCGCTCCCCAAAGGTGCCAATCCTTAACATGGGGTGGGGGACTAGTCTCTTTAAAGTGGAACTTTCCCTTTTGGGTGGAGCTCTACTTTAAGTGCTTCCATTTAGACGTGTACAACGCTTAGTCACGTATGTGTACAATTTGTAGGTCTGTGTGGCCCTGGACAGACGTGTCCTATGTTCCTGCGTGCTGCTAAATGCAATGCTGATTTCCACAAGTATGATGAGCGGAGTGCGGGCTCATCGATTTACTATAGATGTCCATAGAAACCTGCGGAGCGCTCAGCTAAATGCAGCCAGAATCATGGAAGAGAATAAAAGGAGGATTCAGTAGAGGAATGGAGAAATGCCCCCCCCCCCCCCTACTGTCCCAACACTGCCAGGAAAATGCCCCCCCCCCCCATTGTCCCAGCACTGCCAGGAGTCTGCTCTCCCTTCTCCTCACCTTCAGTCTCTTCTCCATGGAGCTCTGCCATTCTCTGTGTAGGAGGTTCATCTCATCTCCCTCCTCATCGAACACTTCCTCCTCCCGGCCCATGGCCGCCCTCACCCAGGACATCTCCTCACACCTCCAGCGCCTCCTGTGACGTACAATCTCCTCGACACATCCTAGTATGCCGGCGTTCAGCATCACGTGGGTCACGTGAAAAAAAAAGACCTATCAGAGACCTCTGGAGCGTTCTCACCTATTGTAATGTGATCGTTACACCAATAACGCGTGAGCGCCATCTAGTGCATATTTAGAAGAATGGCGGGTTAGCGAGAAACAGGAATTCAGAACCATAGCTGAATGTTACTCTGACTTTAGTATTTACCCCCTTCCTGCCTACCGGACACTTCTACCCCCTTCCTGCCTACCGGACACTTCTACCCCCTTCCTGCCTACCGGACACTTCTACCCCCTTCCTGCCTACCGGACACTTCTACCCCCTTCCTGCCTACAGGGCACTTCTACCCCCTGCCTACAGGGCACTTCTACCCCCTTCCTGCCTACAGGGCACTTCTACTTCCCCTTCCTGCCTACAGGACACTTCTACCCCCTTCCTGCCTACCGGGCACTTCTACCCCCTTCCTGCCTACAGGACACTTCTACCCCCTTCCTGCCTACCGGGCACTTCTACCCCCTTCCTGCCTACAGGACACTTCTACCCCCTTCCTGCCTACCGGGCACTTCTACCCCCTTCCTGCCTACAGGACACTTCTACCCCCTTCCTGCCTACAGGACACTTCTACCCCCTTCCTGCCTACCGGACACTTCTACCCCCTTCCTGCCTACAGGACACTTCTACCCCCTTCCTGCCTACAGGACACTTCTACCCCCTTCCTGCCTACCGGACACTTCTACCCCCTTCCTGCCTACAGGACACTTCTACCCCCTTCCTGCCTACAGGACACTTCTACCCCCTTCCTGCCTACAGGGCACTTCTACCCCCTTCCTCCTACAGGGCACTTCTACCCCCTTCCTGCCTACCCGACACTTCTACCCCCTTCCTGCCTACCGGACACTTCTACCCCCTTCCTGCCTACCGGACACTTCTACCCCCTTCTACAGGACACTTCTACCCCCTTCCTGCCTACAGGACACTTCTACCCCCTTCCTGCCTACAGGACACTTCTACCCCCTTCCTGCCTACCGGACACTTCTACCCCCTTCCTGCCTACCGGGCTCTTCTACCCCCTTCCTGCCTACCGGCTCTTCTACCCCCTTCCTGCCTACCGGCTCTTCTACCCCCTTCCTGCCTACAGGCTCTTCTACCCCCTTCCTGCCTACCGGCTCTTCTACCCCCTTCCTGCCTACCGGCTCTTCTACCCCCTTCCTGCCTACCGGGCACTTCTACCCCCTTCCTGCCTACCGGGCACTTCTACCCCCTTCCTGCCTACAGGCACTTCTACCCCCTTCCTGCCTACAGGGCACTTCTACCCCATTCCTGCCTACAGGACACTTCTACCCCCTTCCTGCCTACCGGGCACTTCTACCTCCTTCCTGCCTACCGGGCACTTCTACCCCCTTCCTGCCTACCGGGCACTTCTACCCCCTTCCTGCCTACCGGGCACTTCTACCCCCTTCCTGCCTACCGGACACTTGTACCCCCTTCCTGCCTACAGGACACTTCTACCCCCTTCCTGCCTACAGGGCACTTCTACCCCATTCCTGCCTACAGGACACTTCTACCCCCTTCCTGCCTACAGGGCACTTCTACCTCCTTCCTGCCTACCGGGCACTTCCACCTCCTTCCTGCCTACAGGGCACTTCTACCCCCTTCCTGCCTACCGGACACTTGTACCCCCTTCCTGCCTACAGGACACTTCTACCCCCTTCCTGCCTACAGGACACTTGTACCCCCTTCCTGCCTACAGGACACTTCTACCCCCTTCCTGCCCACCGGACACTTCTACCCCCTTCCTGCCTACAGGACACTTGTACCCCCTTCCTGCCTACAGGACACTTCTACCCCCTTCCTGCCCACAGGGCACTTCTACCCCCTTCCTGCCCTCCGGACACTTCTCCCCCCCTTCCTGCCTACAGGGCACTCTACCCCCTTCCTGCCTATCGGGCACTTCTACCTCCTTCCTGCCTACAGGGCACTTCTTCCCCCTTCCGGCCTACCGGACACTTCTACCCCCTTCCTGCCTACAGGGCACTTCTACCCCCTTCCTGCCTACAGGGCACTTCTACCCCCTTCCTGCCTACAGGGCACTTCTACCCCCTCCCTGCCTACCGGGCACTTTTACCCCCTTCCTGCCTATGTGGCAATTATGGGCACTGAAAGGCAGTACTGATGGGGCTACACTGAAAATCAGAGTACTGATGATCAATGTAGATGTCCCCTCTGAGGAATGCCACTTACCTGTCCTTACGCACTGTCAGCATGAGGAGAGGACTGCCGATAACTGGCATTTCCTATTTACATGCAATCAGCTGTGATTGGATGCAGCTGATCACATGTAGAGCCTGTGTCATTGACTTTTTACTGTGATCGGTGATCCTGGGACACAGCGAATCACGATTGTCATGCGCCCCGGGGGGGGGTGCACATGTGCAGCTAGAGTGGGAGGACCTCATATGATGTCCTCCCAGAATGAGTCAGCCACCGCCCTCCCGTCATTTCCTTATATGGTGGGTGGGAGGCGGTTAAAAAAGAATGAAAGGCAAAATTTTTTCATTTTGGATGTCAGTTTTCTTTTTGTTGCCATCTATGTCCTATTGGGGAGTTTCCTCTGCAGAACTTGCTAGGGTTGCCACCTCATTCCTTTAAAACCAAACACATATTAATTACACAGGTTCAGAGGACAGAAACAATGGAGTTCTGACGTGATACTTTTTTTTATTTGCACTAACATACAATTTTGAGGACAAGCTTTCGGGGAATGTCCCCTTCTTCAGGTCCAGCAGTACTGAACACAAAGTTTTAGCAGAATGTTAGAAGAGATGTTGAAGAAAACACACAAACAGATGTACACAGCAATGGTTATAAGACATAGGATTAGACTAGAGATAAGACAGCAAAAGCAAAGACAGGTTCTGAGGCTAATTTAATGCAGATAAGGCGCTAAGTGAGTTTAATTACCACCTTAATCAGCCACAGAACCTGTCATTAATGTGTGTTCGGTTTTAAAGGAATGAGGTGGCAACCCTAGTTCTTGCTCCATAGTCAGAAAAGGAAGTGAGAGGAAATCTTTTGTTGTCATGACTAGGGATGTGCTCGGGTGTGTTCGGATCCAGTGGGAACCCACTTGAGTTGTCTCACAAGGAATCCATTACTGTACACAGCCAACCATAAGTGACTGGGGCATTCCCGCCATGCAGCCGCACATATACATAGTCCTTGTATCCATGCGGCTGTGGGGTGGGGAATGCCCCGGCCGCTTATCGCTTACAGTGATCAATGGCTCTGTACATGTGCTCATTCATGGCTTAGGGGGTGTGGAGAGTCCAAAATCAGACTCCCTTCTGCTAGGATCAGCTTGAATAGCTTCATTGAACCTGAGTTAGAAGCTGATTGGTTTCTCAGAATAGACTCTCTTTAGTAAATCTAGTGTCCCCATTGGAAGGTTTTCCCTTTATTCCTGTTCTGGTGACCATTCATAATTTGGGATTTTCTTCCACTTTTGGTAATAATGAGCAGCAAGACAAATAGAGGGGGAGAATCTCCCTAATCAGGACACAGACAGCAATAAACATCTGACAGGTGTTCTAATTTTCATTATTTATTTTGAGTACTTATTTAGCACTGTCAATTTATGCAGTACTTTACATATATATATATATATATACAGTATATATTGCACATTCACATCAGTCCCTAACCCTCAGGGGCGTACAATCTAAGGTCCCATAACTCACATTCATTCATACATACACATACTAGGGACAATTTAGACAGGATCCAATTAACCTACCAGCATGTCTTTAGAGTGTGGCAGGAAACTGGTGTACCTGGAGGAAACCCAACAGGCACAGGGAGAACATGAAACTCCAGGCAGATGGTGCCATGTTTGGGATTTGAACCAATGACCCACGTACTGCCAGGCGTAAGTACTAACCATTTAGCCACTGTGCTTACCTGATCCTGCTCCAATCTGTATTTTGGTTTGATTATTTGATCAGTGTGAGATACAATTGATTTTATTATTTGATTGATGTGAGATACAATTAAAATCCAATCAATTTAGGTATGCCATGCATTATGCTATTGTCTTTCCTTCAACCACAGGTTGAAAGAAAGAAAACTGCTTGATCCCCCCATTAGCACACACATTGTTGATGGGGAAATCCCTCCCACAGCACTATTGTGTTCTGGGAGCTTTCCCAATCTGCAGAATACAATGATCACTGCTGGCAGCTATAGTTGTCAGCAGTGATCAAATGAAAAAACCTGACAGGCTGGTTGTACTGAAGTCAATTGAGATATCAACTTCAGAACAACCAACCTGCTTGTAGATTAATCAAAATTCTTTCTGTTCCTGCTGAACCATCTATAGTTGGCTTCAGACTCGGGTTAGGTCTGATTCAATAAAGATGAGTCAATCAGTCAGGGCAGAATGTATTGATTGTGTTGCATTGATCTGCAGCTTTTGTCCATCAATTTGATTGTATTTCAATTGCACAGCTTATGAGGTTGCATGATAAAAAGAGAGATACGATTGATAATTTACAATTGTATCATCCAACTCTCAATCAAAATTCACTTCCCCAAGTGTGTCATATCAATCAAATATGTGGTCGACTATATAATCATTTTTCCTGTAAGGAGAGAGCGATCAGAAAATAAATCAATCATTTATTGAAGTGTGTATGGTCATCATAAAACTCGCCCTCAGACCTACTTTAAATTCTTGATTGTATAAATTGTCAATTTATTTCAGATGCAACAAAGATTTGTTTCCTATTATTAAAGTATAACTAAAGGCAAAACCTTTTTTTAAGTTTGGGATAGAGAGGAGATGGATTAGAACACATAAAGTATTAGGCTTTTATTGCTGCCTGTTAGGGAGGTTTGCCCTATTTGTGCATGAGGCCTAAATCTGTTATGATCA